GCCAATTTAGGTGTAGAATGATGCCCAGCTTTTGTTGAGAGACCTCACCAAAATCGGCTTCATGAAACCCATTTATACATTTCCTATAACAATGAGACTAAGGTCATTGGCCACAGGGACCCTAAGGGTCTAACATCAGAAAAATCTTCCCGAAACTGTGCTCTGAGAGCTAAGTGTTAGAGCTGCCTCGAATTCTTTATGGAAATGAACAGGAGAAAAACAAAGAAGAAAAGAAAGGAGGAAGGAGGGGAAGATAATGTAAACTAGCAAAAAAAAAAAAAAAAAGTGACCTACTTTGCCACTTTAGACGTATTGGTCTGTTTTTTCCTCGCTGAAATAATCATTCAAGCATGCAACAAAAATTTATTGAGTACCTACTACACACCAGGCATTGTGACACTTGGAATATATCAGTGATCCAAACAGATGACAATGTCTGCCTGTGTGGAACCTGTATTCTACCGAAAGAAGACTGACACTGAAACAGTAACCCTATTAGCCACATAAGTTAATTTAAAATTTACAAATAAATATATTAATAAAGAATATATTGAAGAGTGCTTTATGTTGCAACAGATGTACAATATAGCTTTTATATTACCCAGTATGTTAGAAGGTAAAATGTGCCATCATAAAGGAAAAGGTAAAAGGGGACTGGGCAGCAGCAGGGAGGAGGCAGAGGCAAGCTCCACTATTAAGAAGAGTGGTCAGGGTGGGCCTCATTGAGGAAGTGACCTTGAGCAAAGACTTGTACGGTGTGAAGGCATTAGTTCCATGTGCTATTTCCCTTTCTTTTTGCCATCCAAGATGATCAGAACTGAATTTGAGGCTCAAGCCCAGTGCCCTGCAGGCCTCTGTGGTCTGCATATTTGTAGTCTTTTTTCTATTGGGGAGGCAGGGCAGGACAGTGGTGACGGGCACGAGTTCCAAAGTCAAACCAAATATTGGTGCTATGGCTCATCAGTTATGTGACTTTGGGCATCATAGTTCATCTCTCTGGTCCTCAGTTCTCTATCCCTCAAAAGGAAGAAAATAATAGCACCTACCTCACAGGGCTCTTTTTACGGATTAAATAAAGTGACGTATACAAATTCCTTTGCATTCAGGAAGAACTCGATAAAAATCAGCTGTAATTATCAAGCTTTGGTCTTGTCTCTCAAAGTTTATTTACATCTTCCTTGGTCCTGATTCTCTATCCTTATTGATATTTTAACATTGTTTTATGGTTTCTGCTCCTGCGGTAAGCTACCTCAAATCCTTTGTGGATTGGGGTGGGTTATAAATAAGTAAATAAATAAAATCTGGATAGGGGAACATTTTCACTGAAGCAAAACATTTCATTATCAGTAGCGTGAATTCCAAGTGAGACCAAAAGCAAGAAATATCGACTCTAATCTCTAAAAGCCCATCAAAAACCACCAGCAAGTTGCTCTCTGGTTAGTCAAGCCCTCTTTCTCTCCCCCTCTTTCTCTCTTCTTTCCCAAACCCCTCTTCCCCCCTTCCTCAAAAGAGGCTACATGAGTCACATGAAATGGCCCAGTAAGCCGAACCCCTCCCGACCCCCAAAGGATGACTCCATTGCCATGGGACTCACAGAATTCTCCTTCTTCCCCATCAGAGAAGAGAAAGGAAATTGGTGGGCTCACTCTGCATGCTGACGAGGTAAACAGATGGGTGCTGCTCAGGGCACTGAGTCAGACACTGGTCAGAATCTCATTCCTGCCATTCATTAGAGAGTACTGTGGCCAACGGGGAGCCATGGTCACAGTACTGGGCCTCAGCTTCCTCATTGGTAATAACAGTACGCATGCAGATGACGGGGAGAACAGAAGAAAGCAACATGGATAGCTTGTTTTTAAAGCCCTTCATAAAAGTTGGACTTTCCTTCCTTAACTGCACCCCATGGTAACATTTACCGGACAATGGGAATCTAAAACTCTTTAATAAGAGGATGTACAGGACAGAAAATGGGTAAGAAGACTAGTTTAGCTCTATCCCTATGGGACAGCAATGCCCTACGAGAAGCAAAGGAAGCAGATCATTTTTTGAGCCACTACTACATTGTAGGTCCAGTTGCACAGGTATGTATCACGCAGGTATCTTACCATGTATGTCATCACAGATCCTTACTGTAACCCCTGGAGATGGACATTGTACATCACATCTGACAGCTAGGGCTGGGTTTGGAACCCAGAGCACACAGCTGGGAATGTCTGTGAGGCAGTCCTGGCCTTCCGGTATTGTCTTCACAAAGGGTGACAACTCACCTTCCCCATAGGACATCACAGGCATCCCTGACAGAAGCCAGCAAGTCCCCAGACCTGCCGGAGTGCCAAGCCTCTGTGACTCCCTGAGCTGGCCTCCAAAAGAATCTGGGCCAGGCTGACCTTGCCGAATCTCTCTGAGCCCTCCTCCTCCCCTCCCCTCCCCTCCCCTCCATCAGCCTCCAGGGCCTTTGCTGGTAAGGCACCCCTGCTCTATGAACTCGGGCTTTGGATTTAGCTAGATCTGAATTTGAAACACACACCCCTCACATATCAACTGCAGGACCTTAAGCATGAGTCACTTTTCCCTTCTGGTTTCTATTCTGAAAATGAGAATATCAAAATGCCTGCCTCCCAAAGTTATCATGAAGATGAATAGAGCAATGTATTGAAAATACACGAAACAGTGCCTGGAGCACACTCAATGTTCATTTATGGTCGCTGCTATTGTTACACTGATGCCATTAGGGAAAATCAACCTTATGCTGAAGGACAAGAGATGATGCTCTCAGGGAGGGAGTGTCCTTGAGCAGTAACTGACATGTCTACCCACGCTTCCGAGCAGACCAAGCAGCACGACCTGATTATCTGACATTGGATCCACAGACAACTACCTGAGGATAATGAGAAGACCTAGCTGGGCTCTGTGCCTCTCCTAGGGGGAAAAAAGACTAATCAAGATCCAGTCCTTCCAAATCACTGCCCTTAATCCACAAGCATGTAATGATGGTCCCTCTGTGCTGGGAACTGGGGAGAGATAAGAGACCCATCCCTAGCCCAGGAGTTTATAGTGCACTTAGAAGAAAAAAAGAAAGAAAGAAAGAGAGAGAGAGAGAGAGAGAGAGAAAGAAAGAGAGAGAGGGAAACTGCTACCATAGCAGACAGAAAGGAATGAGTACTTAGTACCCAGGTGGGATATGAGTGAAAGCCCTATGGAGAAGGATGTATTTGAACTGGACCTTACAAACGAGGAAAAACAGAGGGGCATGGTTTTCCAGGCTGAAAGCACTGGATGAACGAAGGATAGAAACCAGAAAAATATAGTTTGTTTAGAGAACAAAATTTTGGGGAGCCTGGGGGACTGGAATGCCACAGACTGAGGTGAGAGCTGACAGTGAAGGGCCAATGAGCCACAGGAGACACACAAAAACGTCATGACTACCACGAAGAAAATAGGAAGAGTGGGCTTCCAATTTAAAATAGGATGGTCGGGCGCCTGGGTGGCTCAGTGGGTTAAAGCCTCTGCCTTCGGCTCAGGTCATGATCCCAGGGTCCTGGGATCGAGTCCCGCATCGGGCTCTCTGCTCAGCATGGAACCTGCTTCCTCTTCTCTCTCTGCCTGCCTCTCTGCCTACTTGTGATCTCTCTCTCTCTGTCAAATAAATAAATAATAAAATAAAATAAAATAGGATGGTCACAGAAGACCTCTTTGAGGTGACACATTTAAGATGTAAAGGAGCAAGACATGTGACTCTCTGGGGGCAGTTTCCAGGCAGAGCGGTGCAAAGGTCCTGAGGCCACAGGGTAGCTGCCATGTTGGCGGTGCGTTAAAAGAGATCACTGCGAATAGAGCGGTAGGAAGTGAGGTTAGGGACTTCAAAGGGAGCCAGCTCAGGAGAGGCCTTGCAGCCTGTTAAGGGGCTTTAGCTTTCACTTGCCTAAAATGAAGAGCAATTGTAGGATTGAAGACTTAGTTTTCAAAGGATCTCTTACTGCTGTGTGGCGAATCAACTGCAGGGGCCAAGGCTGGAAGCAGGAAGACCAATCTGGTGGCTATAGCAGAATTCCAAGTGAAAGAGGATAGTGGCTGGAACGAGGGTGATAGCTGTGTGGTGTCTCGCCTCGGTTACCCCATGTAAAAATGGAGCTTAGGATCTCTGCTCTGTGTGCAGCCTGATACCTCAAAAAGCACCCCCCACCCCCGCCAATCAGGAATATGAGGAACCTCTAACTAGCGGGGTGCCAGCCTGGGAAAATGTGAGATTGTGGGGCCATGGGCAGCTCCTTGCACGTCCCGGCCCCTGGTGCCCAGAAGAAAGCCAAGACAGGTGCGTGCCCCACCACGAGCATCAGGCCGGAGAGACCCGGCGGAGCTAGGTCTTGCTCCCCAGAAACTGAAGAAAGAAGAGTGGGAAGGCGGGTGCCTCATGCGAGCCCTGGAGCAGGTCCTGGGCACCCGGCACTGTGTGCGCCCGGGTATGCAACCACTCCGTGCAGATGTTGGCATCTTGCGGGCAACATCGGGGAGCGGCACAGCACCCTCTCCAGGCACCCTCCGGTCCCCCCCCCGCCCCCGGGACTGACCCCTTTGTCTTGCTCTCCTTTACCCCCATCTGTCTGCCTGTACGTCCCGCACTGGGTTCGGAGCGCACAGCCCCGCTGGGGTCCCTCTGGCGGTGGCCGTATAGGCGCAGCCCGGGCCCGGGGCTCCCGTGAAGAGAAAATCATGAATGAAATGCATGCGGTTCTCCCGCTCCCCCGCCCTCGCTGTCCAGGCAACCTCCGCGCGGGGGCGGCGCGCGCGGGGACTCCGCACAAAGTAGGGGAGGGGGCGCCTGAGAGCAGGGTCAGGGACTAAGGCTCGGGGATCCGGCCCCACTCCGGCCCCTGGGCGCTGCCGGAGCTCCCACGCCCCGCCCGCCAGCCCCGCGGGCCCTGCGCAATTCCCGGGGAGCGGCGCCAGGCCGCCCGGGGGCGGGGCGGAGCCGGGGCCGGGGGTTGCCGAGCAGACCCCGCGGCTGCGCCCGCGACTCCGCAGCCCAAGCGCATTTAGTGGGGCGGCCGGGCAAGGGAGCGCGCACGGAGCGCGGGACGGAGCGCCGGGCGGACGGACCGACGGACGGACGCCCCCGCACACGCAGACGCACAGAGCTCGGCGCGGCCCCCGTCACACACACACACACACACTCGCGCAGACACACACAGGAACACACGCAGACACACGCACACTCGCGCGCGCATATCCTCCCGCCAGCCTGCCAGCCCGCCCGCTCGCCGGTGCCCGGAGCCCGCTCTGGCCGGTAAGTGCGGCGCCTCTGTGGGCGCCTTTGTGTGGGGAGCGGGGAGGTGGAAGGCACAGGGTCCCTCCGGGGGCCGCCCAGCGAGTGAGACCTCCTCCAACCCCCAGGGCCGAGAAGCCAGAGCCCGCCACCGCCACGCCCCCATGGGGCTCCCTGCGCCCCCGGACTGGGGGAGGGGGACCCGCGCCGGGGAGGGGGCTCGGCGCTAGGTACCGGGGAGAGAGCGGCAGCCACTCCCCACGAAGCTCGTGCACGGTTCCCGGGAAGGATGGAGGCGGTGGTCCCGGGTCCGAGCCTCCGTGACCGAGGCTGGTGCGCGGCTCTTGGCTGCATCGCCTCTCCGGGGTCTGAAGCTCCGGAGGGAGGCAGGAGATCGCCGCTAGCCTGCTGGCCTGTAAAACGAACTCCCAGCCTTCCCTTCGCTTCGCCTCCCCCGGACCGACAGTGTAGCTTAAACCACCAGCTACCCACCCACCCTCAAAATAAGAGCCCAGCGCGTTCCCCTCCCCCAGCATGTCCCTTTTTCCTAGATGAGGCCGAGACTCCTGCAAAATCCGGAGATTGTCCTGATCAGAGCCCTGAGGGGCTTACCTGACCAAGGATCACGTGGCTTAGAGGGTCAGAACCAGATGAGCCCTTGGAACTCACTTAACCCCCTCACTGTACAAATGGGGAAACTGAGGTCCAGTGAGGTGGCTTGACCAAGGTCACCAGAGTTAGTGACAAAGCGTGCCTTAGAATTTAGGGTCTATGGCTTTCCTATTCATTTTTCTCCTACATGATTCAGTTCTATAGCCACTGAAACCCCAAAATTCATCTGAGTGTACCTGCAAAGTCTTTGTAATTCCAGCCCTGCCCCCACTTGGAGCGGCAGGTGCCTTTCATTTGCTACCATCCTTACTGGGGGGGGGGGGGGGGAAGGGTGGCCTTTAGTTTGCTTCAGTCAGCCTCAAAGGAGAGCTCTCTTATGCAAGCAAGCACTCCAGGTTTGGGGATTTGATTGGCAAGAATGAAGCAGCTCTGGGCAGGAGATCAGATTCTAGGATGTTGGGCTCTCCCAGAAGTCATTGAGTCTGTGTCCTCAGTTGGACCAGTTGCTGTGGCATTCAAGAGTCAACCCCTTCCCTCACCTTGACCTGACTATACGGCTTCCCAGTCACGCTCCCCTCCTTCTTAATGGCCTGCATCTTATACCCAGGCCCCTTGGGTCGTCCCTTTGTGGAGGTCCCCCAAATCCTTCATGTCCGGCTGCCCCTTCCTCCTTGATGTCTGTTAAGTATGGCCTCTTGATGTTGCTGACAAAGCTGCTGGGGAAGCTTGAGTTACAGCTTCATCAGGCTCAGGTGGTAGCTCAGGGCAAGGCTCCCTCAAGGGCAGCTGGGTGTCCCCAGAGCTGAGCCCGATGCCTGGTGCAGACAGGGTGCCCCGAGAGGTATGTCGAAGGAGTACAAGCTGGGTGGTGAGTGGAAGAAGTCAGTCACTCTTGAGGAGACTCAAGACGTAGACAACATAGTTGGCAAGGAGGGCAGTGTTCAGTCTGTAGGGGCCTGAGGCTCTTGTCTCAAGGGCTTCCTTCTTGAGTGGGGTGAGCAGCCTGGCAAGGTGACTAGGTGTCCTAACTTCAGGGACGACCACTCAGGCCGTAGGCCCCAGAAATGGCATTGCACTCCAGAAGCACCATTTACGTAGACTTCCTAATGCGTGGTGCCCCTTGGCTTTCTGTGGAGCAGTGGCTCCTACCCTGAAAGTGGAGAGATCTGGGTTCCAGGCCCAGCCTTCTCCTCGCTGGCTGGACAGGTTCAATGAATGCTCATAACCTCTCTGGGTCTGAGATTCTCCATCTGAAAGATAAGATTATGGGATTGAAAATTTGCAGGGTACCTTTCAGGGCTGAACCAGGGAGAAGGGTGGGGGGAAGGGGATCACTTATTTATATAACTACTGTGGGCCTGCTTTTCCTCTTCTATTACTCTGTGAGGGAATACAATGAGGTGAGATAATTTATGTAGGGTACTTAGCACAGTGCCTGGGGCATAGAAGGAGCTCGGGAATAGGCAACTATTAATACCATTAGAGCCCAGGCTTTGTGGGTATACCCTCCATATCTTCCCTCTTCCATTGCCCAAAGACATGGGATTTTAGGGCCCCAGAATCCCTCTTTCCCCAAAATTCCCTTCCCCACCTGACTTAGGGCTCAGCTGGCATAAGACATCCATGAAACCTCCCTGGGACAAGGACCGCTTCTCTTCATCCATTGTTTCGCAGCTAATTGTGATGGAATTTAGTAATTGATATAGTGTCAAAGCTTTTCTTACACTGTCGCTTACATTTAATTCTCTAACACACCCATGATAGCCACAGTGTTATCATTCCCATTTTACAAACAGGGAAGCTAAGACTCAGAGTCGAACTTATCTAAGGGTGCATAATTTAAAAGTCTTAGCCAGAGAGCTGTGCCTTGAGCTCAGATCATCTGAATCCAGATTCTGAACCTTCCTTATCATATCACCTGTCTTTTCCCAACCCCTGCCCTAAAAGAGATACAGATGACCTTTGGGAAAGAGTTGAGCAGAAGGATGGATTTTATTCTTCTGGAAAATCAGGAGTCGCCTCTTGGAGAAGCTGTGTAGCATATGAGTTGGGTCTACATGATTAGTACACTAGAAGAAAGAAAGGGCATTATTTCAAGTGTTAGAGGGAGCATGAACAGAGAACAGGCAGCGGGGCCTTCTCGGGCGTGTGTAGAAACTGGGAAGTGTTTCATTCCAACTGGAGCAGAAAGGATAACAGAGGAGTTGCAAGAAGGAAGACTGGGTAGGAAGGTGGAGGCAGTTTCTGGGAGCATTGAATGCCAAGCTAAGAGACTGGTCTTTAGTTTCTGAGTAGAGGAGAGACCTGATCCAGCCTGGCCAATAGGAATCTCGTCCTGGCTGCCGTGTGGAGAACAGATTGGAGGGGAGGACCCACTGGCAGGGGGCCCAGGTAAGACACAATGACAGTGTCTAAGTGAGAGATAAGGAGTGGGGGTGGTCGTAAGAATGAAGACAGAAAGGAGTTGATGCAGGAGGCCAGAGTGTCACCGAAATGGGCAGGGGTTTGGATGTGGTGCTAGAGGGAGGGGGGAATGAGAAGTGGTGGCAAGGGTTTTGAGCCTGAGTTTCTAAGGATGCCATTCACAGAAAGAGCCTAACAGGAGGGAGGAAAGGGAAGCCTGCCAGTGGGGGCTGTGGGTCTGACAGGACGCCATAATGACTCCTGCAATGCTGGCTCACTGAGCACCCTGAACTGTCAAGAGCCAGTTTGTTCATCCATTCATTCAATCTCCAGATACATATAAACATCTGTTATGTGCCAGGTTGTTCTGGGCTCTGGGGATACATTGCTGAAAAAGATGAACTTCCTGCCCAAGCTCTACCAAGGGAGACAGAAAATAAAACATAAGCAGAGATATGACATTTCAAGGGGTGAGAAGTGCTCTGGAGAAAAATAAAACAGGGTGGGGAGGGGGAAGAGTGAAGGAAGAGATTTGCCTTTAAACAGAACTATCTTTGAGGAGGTGAGAGTTGACCAAAGACCTGAATGAAGTGAGGAAATCAGGGAGAAGAGCATTCTAAGAAGAGGAGACCACCAGTGCAAAGGCCCTGGGGTAAGAATACCTTGGTGTTTTCAGGGAGCAACAAGTGTGGCTATAAGAGATGGACAGAGAGGAAGGGTGGTAAGGAAAAAGGTAGAAAAGAGGGGCAGGGCCAGATCATGTAGGTGTTTATAGGCCTGAGGAATAAGAAATCACAGTGTTAAGGAGTCCCAAGATAACCAGAGTCCTATTCTCCTTGTATTCTTAGTGACTAGCAAACCAAACCCGATACTCCGTGCTAGCTCACCAAATAGTTGTTGAACGCATGAATGTTAGAAATGACCATTTATGTATGAAGCTGCATACTTTGGAATTATATGAACCACTAAGTATATTACGACAGAGTAAGGTGTAGTAGGATCAAAATGATAAAGCTCAGATGATTTGAATATGTTGTCATTCAAGTATGAAAAGTCCACAGTTTGCAGATTTGTTGGAGAGCAAGGATCTTGGTGAGAATGTCTAATTTTGGGCTGATGTAGGGGCTAAACCGTTCATGGCCAAATCTCCTGGTCAGTGTGATGGTCAAAGAAAGACCCTAAATTGCCGTTCCTTTGCTTGGTGAGGTGGTTTGTTGAAGTCATTAGAGAGGCTTCAAGTCAGATGTTCCCCTGCCCCAGAACTCTCTGGAAGTCGCTCAGAGGAACTTGTGGACTTCAGCAATGGGCAGCCTGTGGGTGTCTGGAGTCAGCCACAGAGATTGTATGTTTCATCATCAGCCTAAGGGTGTTGCCTGGGCTCAAAAAATGAATTGCATTATAAAAATAACATGACCGTACTGTAAAGCAAATGTAAGACGAACCATGATCTTGAACATCCTGTTCTGTTTCTTCTGAAAATCTTTTTTTCTTCCTGCAGTTTATTTTTTTTATTTAAATTTCAGTTAGTTAACATAGAGTGTAATGTTAATTTCAGGTGTACCATACAGTGATGCAACACTTCCCTATATCACCAGGTGCTCATCACAATTAAGGACTCTCCTTAATCCCTATCTGCCTCCCCTCACCTACCTCCCCTCTGGTAACCATCAATTTGTTCTCCATATCAAGAGTCTGTTTCTTGATTGTCTCTAAAGGTCTGTATTTTTTTTAACGGGTGAAATCAGTCCACACTTAGCTTTAGTATCTTGCGTTTTTCACTTAACACTTTATCATGACTTCTGTGTTCCATCCTGATCTTTTTTTATCCTCAGTGGCTTTACTCTATTTCGGTTAACCATTTCCTTGTTGGTGGATCCCGTAGTGAACATCCTCAACCACAGCTTTTCTATCTCAGGTTCTTGAGGCTTCCGTTTTGAGGAACCTCAAGAGGGTATGATGGGGCCATGGAGGGGTTAAAGAGGGGCCCAAGGGATGGAAAGGAGTGA